TCCTTACTTCAGCTTCCCACTTTTGCTCTATTGATACAGCTGGGGCGTCATGTTCCTTGCGGGTAAAACATTTTTAATAACATTTAGTAAAGATTCAGTTAAATTAAGCAAAACCAAAATTTCCACTTCCCTCGGATAAGTAGAAGACATGATTAATATGTTGTTCGAATTTTTGGGGGCTTGTTATTCAGGTTTTGTTTACATTAATAGTATTAGACCAAAATGGTTATATTCTTAAAGAAAAAAAGACCTAGTTTGTTTAACAAAGTAAGCCATGTGGTTTATGAAAATATTTTCTAAGATAGGGCGATCGAAATAGGAAAAAATGATATGCATCTCTGTTAAATTTAATTATAAATTATAAACAAAGACCTACGGGACCCAAACAGATAGCCGTCTCAGATTTACCCCAGATTACCTCGTAGACAGGCGTTGTCATTACAAGAACACACCCGTATTCCCGTGGTTGAAGCGAACCTAGAGACACACGCAGGGCAGAACAATTGTGAGATACGACTGGCGATTCTGGAGTCAACAATTACTATTAGATTTCTCAGGCACCTATCTAGGTAGAACTTAGTCGTTCGGTGGGTAATAAAGACATTGTATTTAACAGTTTTAATCATACATATTATAAAACCCAGGTTGTGTGTGTGTGTGTCTGTTCGTTTATATATTGGATCGGATTTCCTACATTTTTCAACAGATTTTAACAAAACTTCACAGGACTACGTAAAATTACCTTGCGGTGGTTCTGACAGTGCCAAAAATTGGAAAAACACAATTGTTTTTGCACGAAATCAATTTGAAAACACGATTAAGAGGCATTAATGAAAGGGGGACAATTCATATCGAGTTATACTTATTACAAAACCCAGGTTGTTTGTTTGTTTGTTTGTGTGTGTGTGTGTGTTCGTTTATATATGGGATCGGATTTCCTACATTTTTCAACCGATTTCAACAACACTTCACTTTTTTTTGGTTTCTTATTGTCTTGCACACTTTTTTCTTTATTTGTACATTCAGAATGTTTTAAATTCCATTTACACGACACTTGTTTATAATAAAATTCTATTCAATCGGTAGACTCATAACGATTGAAAACAATGTTTTTGTTTGAGTTTGGGTTTGACCAATTCGTAAAAAAACAAAACAAAACAAACAAACAAAAAAAAACTAATTAAGACATGCGTGTCCGTCAACCTTAAACAATAATCTTTGTAAATTTATTTTTCAGTCTTTATGATGGTCGATACTTGATCTATCTCTTACTGTTACACTGTTTTGGGAAACTCGAATCATCCTTAGCGAGACGAAACACTGGCTCCAACCGAGAAAATAAAGCCGGGTGACCCGTAATGTCGGTGATACTCAAGTCGGTTAGCAGAATTTGCGATTAAATGGGGGTTGACGGTTACAATATATCATCCATCTTAGATTTATGTTCAGATACATACAGACATATTTCTTCCAAGCGACCATGTTCCCATTTTGTAGGAGATATTGGAATATTATTAATTAGTTATCTACTAAATGTAACTTAAGAGACCGGGCGCTGGCCAAACATCTAAACTTCCCTATTGCCAGTACATAGTTACTTCCTATCTTGGCTTCACTGCCTGCTAAGACTAAAAACCACCAACTTACATACTATTTACCCGTAGTTGGGCATTGAGACGTGAATTCATACCTGTCCTTAAAGCTTTTCTGTAAAGTGACAGCAAAAAGTATCGTTTGAAACCCGAACTTCGATCACCGGTTCCGTTTTCATGACGATAACCGCTATGCCACTCTACACCACCATAGGCTTAAAATATCCCTTTCACTAAAATGGTTCTGAGAATCTAAATATATATTAGCATATAAACAAACTTCACAAGACACTATTGTTTTAATATTCTGAATTATACATCCAATATGGACGTCCGATAAGAATCAATAATGTGGCTAATAATAATAAAGGTTGTGTACAAATATATAAAAAATATAAATAACAATGAACAATGAAATTTCTATCAGACGATAGAAAGAAAATAAAAACTAAGAAAGCTAGAAAGACCTATTGCAATGTAAAAAAAAATCCAATTGGGACACTGAAGATGTCTTTAAATAAATATGTATTTTAAAAAGTACTTAGATTCAAATCGCAAGAGAGAAGCAGCACCAGACGAGATGTTAAATGATAAGACAATATAAATCTCGTTTCTAAATAGAGAGTTCAACATGAGAAGTACATGTAAAAGAATAAAGTGTATTCTTTTTTTTTTTTGTTCTTTACGACAGCAAAAGCAAAACATAAAAAGGACAGATTGACTAAGAGAGGTTAAAGTACCATCCGGAAATACCGAGGGAGAAAACGGAAGGCGGAAGAAAAATGTAAATAATAATAATAATAATAATAATAATAATAATAATACGTAGTACAAATACCTAGATACATAACACTCAGGGGAATAACAAATGCAGACGCTGCGTAGCCGGGAATGTGACAATAAAACAT